CCGAATAGAATGGTGATATAAGATTCGAGCATCCTTTATATCTTGATACTTCTGCATCGCTACACTCCTCACCATACCCTATCAAATACACATCAGCTCCCTCTTACAATTCCCAATATATATGTGCAGCTAATCCGGCGTGCACTCTCGCGATACCCTTCATTATCTCTTATGCCCATATACAACCACATGCGTACTCCCCCCCCTCGCACTTCTCATCTAGTAGGCTCACGAATTCTTACAAGTAAATCTCCAATAAATGACCATGCTTTACCTCAGATACACATAAACCTCTAAGAACTGTTAGATGCGTCGCACCAGAAGCAACAAAGGAATAATCTGTAATACCTGTGGACTCATAATTGCTGTCTTTACAGCAAACTAAAAGCTTCAAACAAATTATCATGGTCACACTTTCATAAGACTTTACTCATTTAGTACTCACTTCAACAAGTGCTTTTATCTCGTTGTCTCACGCTCTCTGCTGCGTAGGCATTACGTGAGTGGAATATCTCCTGACGCTACACCTAACATAATGTGGACACAACTATCCATATTATCTTTGCCTTTCAACATGGAGTCTTACGTCAAAACCAACCGACTTCACTCTAGTCTCGAATCTATCCACACGATCCTTTAATGCATACAGTTATGGGCGGGAGACCGCCATAACCGACAATCTAGGGGCTACCCAACACGCACTATTATCCAAGCGCGTACGATACTGTCTACTAAACCACTCATGATATAGTAGTAATCACCACACTTCTCATGCCAGGCAAGGCCAGATCATGAAAAGCTAGGGTAAGAATAAAATGCGGGATAACATCAAAGGTATGGAATCAAGATAGTTTACGTTTTTCAAATCAGGATAATATATGGAAAGCTAAAGTTGAGTGCAGGTAAATGTAGTTTCTCAACGGCTACACCCATAGGATCAAAGCAACCCATGCTGCTTTCCCTATCGCACCTACCACCACAATATGCCATGTTTATAATTATATCCCAATTACATACCTTCCTACCACCACGCACACTCCCTTACTGACTCATCATCCCTAAATAGGAGTCATGCACACATGATATTACTCGTTACATCGTCTCTACTAATGATGATTGAAGTTCCTAGTAGCCGAGATAACACTGGATAACCTCCGGATTAACATTGCTCATCGACGTACTGATCAGGAAATATCCGCATAGACTGCGGTGAGGAAGGTCTGATTCATGAATTTATGTTTAATTGCAAACCTTTGCTTCTTGCTAAACCACTTTGTTAGTGGAGTGTAGAAAACTCCCCTCTTGAAAAACTAAGGGTTGGCGTGAGATATGATTGTTCCGGTATCATTCAGTTTATATCCCTCACGTATACTTTAGGAGCTGTAGACAGGAAATTGAACTTGAGTTTGAAGCTAGCCTGGGCTACATAGCAAATTTGAAGCCAGCATGGACTACACAGTGAGACCCCATCTTAACAGTAAATAAAATTGAGTCAGTCTAAGCGCTCATAATGACAAGTGGGTGTGTTAAAATCTTAGGCTAAGAAGCCTGCCTGCTGACCTCTGCAGTGTTCCTTCTCCTGATTTTTAGGAGGCTCCAGGTCATCCTAACTTTGTCACCCTGCCCCGGTCTGCCTATTTCCTTCCACATCTCCTCCCTGGCAGTATTACTTCCTTCAGCTGCTCAGTTTGGGAGTGATTTCTGGGAGGCTGGTTTAAGAGCGTTGTAAACCCTGAGATGACCTGCTATATCTTTCCCTTAGGGCTATTATGAACTGTATGAGTAGGCTGGCTCTGAGCAGTAACAAAGAAGAACTGTGTTTCAAGGCAGGGGGTTGGACTGAATCGTGTTGGGGTCCCAACCTCTAGATTTTAAGCTACTAAAATTATTCTCTACTGACAATCCGTAACTGTATGTAACCCCATACATCTGTAGCCACTAGAGGGAGATCTCTCCCTATTGAATCAAAGTGTAACTAAGGAAAGACTCTTCATTTGCCAAGTTTGAGATTTAGGTAGCATGTCCAGTTAAACACTCATCTTTTTCTCTCACAGGTTTCAAAGAAGTTAAGAAATAGGCAAGGGAGTCTGATGGAGATCAAAATTAAAAAGTAAAGCTTATCAGAAAAGGTCTAAATCTATTGCCAACTGGGTTTGTTAATACTTCCCTACCACACTATCCTATCCAAGCCCCCAGTAAACCTAGACAGTCATAGACTTCCCTACAGGTCTGGCCACTTAGCTCATGGGATTAAAAATGCACTGTGCTAAAGGCACTTTACTTAGAAAGTGTGCTACAGAAGTGGCTGAGAGCCACACGACACTTTCCTTTTTCCTCCCAGGCCTTTTAGATCAATCTCACCTTACCTCCCTTCTGTTAGGGAGGAAAAAAGAGGAGGAAGAGGCAGAAAATGTACTCCCTTATGTCCCTCTCATGGGATGTAGATATTCCTCTCTTTGTGATTGTGTGCAGGCTGAGCTGAGCAGTGTCCTCAGCAGGAAGTGGATGCTCACTCCTGACCTAGGTAGAAGAATGCTCTAGGATCTTAGGATGGTTTCTCCCATCTCATTGAAGCTATTCCATTGGAGGTGGCCAAGGCAAGTTGTTGGGAGAGAGGTCAGAGAGTCCTTACACAAAGTATAAAATCTCTCCTTTCTGTGGAAATAAGAATTCTTTGAAATATAGGATTGATTTTAGAATATATATATTTTTTAAAGGGCAAAAGCTACTATTAATTTAAAAAATATTTTTGTACCAGAATGGAGAAAACCAAACATTTCCTTTGGGAATGAGAGCCCATGTTTTTTCTTAATATTCTGGTCACCTGTCAGAGTCTAGTGAAGATTTGTTGCTCAAATGATTTTTAGAATGATTTTTTTTTAAAGTGTATAATCTAGGCTCCTAGACTTATGGAAAAGTAAATCACTAAAATGAAATTTAAAAGAATATGGGGCATTGATAACATTTTATTTTATCACATACAAGCATTACAAGTGTAACTGCCATGTTTGACAACACCATCATTTCATAGAGAAACAAAAATATACTGGGCATGGTGTTTCAGACCTATAATCCCAGCAGAGGTAGGAGAATTTTGAGTTCAACCCAGGCAAAGTTTGCAGACTATCTCAACAAACAAACAAACAAAAAACCCACAGTAGGCCACAGGCATAATTCAAGTGGTAGATCCCTTGCTTCATAAGCATGAGGCTCTGGGTTCAATCCCCAATACCAAAATAAATAAACAAAAATATTATAACATCAAAAAAGTAAATAGAACAAAAATCTTAAAGGGTAAAGGGAGTTTTTGAACCTTACATGCACATTCCTAAACTGTGCTTCCTTTTCTGACTTTGCAGTTAGCCGGAAGAAATGTGGTCATGTTCTGGCACTGGCATGGCACTGCACTGAGTAGCCCCAGATTGTCCTGGGATGTGTCCCAGACTTGAGAAATGTCTTTAGGGCTGTTCAGTGTGTTCTTACTCTGTGCTTGTTTTTTCTGGACAGAGCTCTGTCAGAAAAGATTGTCTCAGTCCTTCCGAGGATGAAGTGTCCACACCAGCTGGAGCCCCACCAGATCCAGGGGATGGATTTTATTCATATATTTCCTGTTGTGCAGGTGAGATCTTCTGTGTGGTTTCTTGCCTCTGAAAATTAGGATTCATGCAATAGGTGTGGCTTTTGGGCTGTCTGGCCTGAATTTTGTCTAATGGGTGTTGTATGGATTTGGTTTAGCAGGACATGGTAGTGTTTTCTGTTGTCATTCTCAAAAGACTGCTGGTATTCTATATGCCCTAGTTTTATACTGTTACCTCTTAGGATATTTGAATGTTCCTATTAGTGCCTTTTCATACTTTTTTGGTAAAGATAGAACTCCATAGCCCTCTGTGTTCTGATCTCTTCTGATATACTATTTAGCATTTAATTCCTTCCTTTTCTTTGTTTGTTGTTGTTGTTGTTCTTGCCTGCCTGCCTGCCTTCCTCCCTTCCTTCCTTCCCTTCCCCTCCCCTCCTCTTCCTCCCTTTCCCTCTCCCTTCTCCTTCTTCCTTCTTTTCCACCCTCACTATGTAGCCAAGGCTAGTCTTGAACTTGTGATCTTTCCACTTCAGCTTTCCAAATGCTTAAAATACAGGCATGTACCACCATGTCTGGCTACCCCTGTTAACTTTCTTTCAGATTTCCCCATACTTGTAATTCCTCTTGTCACTGGGCCTTTGCATATGCTAGCTCCTTGTGCTGGACTGCTCTTCCCTTCTCTCCTTACATACTTAATTCATATTCATCTTAGTTCTACCAAACCTCTTCAGAAAGCTTTCCTTGACCTCCTAATCTAGAACAGGTTCCTTTGCTAGATCCCCTTGTATAGCCGTATTTCCTTCCTTCTCAGGAATCTTCCTTCTTACAGTTTGAAGCCATGTATCTTACTGTAAGCTTCATGACTGTAGGCACCATCACTGTTTTGTCTCTAGTATCTAACAGAAAGTCTGGCAATTAATTTGTAGGTACGTAGTCTTTGATTACTAATATCTCATTGGAAACATCTCTCCTACAGGCTTTTCCCCCAGGCTGTGCTATATAGCTTCCTATATTCTATGCAGTTCTTACTTCTGGGCTTCCCCTTTAAGGCTCCTGGAAAAGAGAAGAAACAGAGGGATGCATGTTTTTTCCCTTCTGTGGGAATACTACTTGTGTCTGAACCTAACAGTGTTCAGATCATCTGTTACAATTCCTGTCTTATCTTTGAAGAAAGTAGGACTACAAGGTTGATCAGTTAGCTAAATGGCAGAGAGTGAATGGACAAAGATACCAATGTAACCTCCTTGTCTCCAAGCCTTGTTCCTTTTTCATTCTGCCATTCTTGCAGCCACGGAGAAAGCTGTACCGTCTTTTCCAGAAAAGTCTTCTAGTTCCATGTTAAGGTCATAGAGTGTAGAAATTCAGAACAGAGACTAAGTTTAAATCTCACTCTGCTACTTTCTAGCTGAATGACCTTGAGAAATGACTTAACTTCTCATTTGTTAGAGCTAGTAATGGTACCTTTCTGGTAGGTTGAGAAGTAAGTTGATATGTGTATAGAAGTTAGATGAAGCACTGCCTCATCTTAGTAAGTACTACATTAAATGCATCTAGTCTATTTTCTAGACTTCAAATCAAATGCCATGAATTTTGTAAATTTATAAATGAAATTTGTAAGTTTCAGGCTGAGAGTTTAATCGTCTTTTCTCTGATGCAAGGAGATGGTACCTGATCCTTTTTGTGAAAAGGGAGTTCAGGGCCTGATGTTGATGATCACTGAAACCTCCAACACTGTCATACTTTGAAGTTGTTGCCTTTCCACCTAAAGCCTGCATCTCTACACTAGAACACTGGCAGCAAAAAATCCAGTCCAGATATGAGAAGATGAGTGGGAAATGATTTCCTACAGTCAGATCGAACATTTTGAGGTTCTGTGGATGTTATGAATGCAGTGCTAGAGCAGTTCTTACCTAGACATGAGAGCCTAGGTTAGTGATTATCAGATTTCCCATTTCACAGACCTAAAACTGGAGACTGACTTGGGGTTAGCACTGGTAGTTTGCTGGGCAAGAACACTTTCAAAGGTAACTTCTATCTTTCTTTCTCTATCGTATCCTAAAAGATAGCCCATTTAATGCATGATCTGAAAACAGAGGACCGTCCTTCAAATTGAATACATTTAACATTATGAAAAACTCATACATTCCTGAAAGTTTCTTCTATTATTTTCTGGGCACTAGCAAAAGACCAGCCATAGACTAGTAATTGGGAACTATTAGCCTATCTGTCTGATATAACCTCTCCTGTTCACACCACTTGGCAAAGCCTAGCAATACTCTCTGAAAACCACCTGCAGGGGAAAGAATGGGTCTAACTTCCAGCTCCTGGCCGTTCTAGGACACTTTTTTTCTTTTGTGTTGGACTTGAATTCTGTAAAGTAGATAGTTTTCTTGTGTGAGGGGAGCTATGACAGTTTTACTATCCAGGAGGTCTCTGGAGTTTTAAGTTGAGGAAAGTTAAGAGTTGAGAGTAATTGCTTCTGGATATCAGTACAGTGGAGCTGGGATTCACGTACTAAAACCCACTTGTCCAGTTGTCTGTTGTGGAAGAGCCTCAGAGCTGTGACTCCCAGCTTTGCATCATTACAGCTACAGATCAATAACAAATTGCATAGTTTCTCTGACTTAGACTCTGTAAAACTCAGCCAGCACAGTGTGCCTTAGAATGTCATAGGATTAGTAGAGAATGTTGTTATCAGTTAATCTAATGCCTTAGGTTCTGTACTCAGCATATACTGTTCTCTAATTTCAGTACTATGGGGATTTTTTTCAACTGTTCCAGGAGTTGTCCTAGTTGTTCTTTGTGGCACTCTCCTCCGCTTTTTGTGGTGCAAGTAGCATAGGAAAGAGATGTTTACAGTTCCATCTGCCACTGGAATGCCTTGTGCTTTAGCTGTTTACAAAGCTCTCTAATATTGTGCTTTTATTTGTTCCTGTTATAGTTCTGTGCAATTAAGAGTATCAAGGGACTGATTTTCTTCCCTTCATAGAGAGGGAGACTGAGGCCTGGGGATGAGAGTATAGCCTTAAAGTGCCTGTGCAGCGACTTAGCACTGGTTGCACTGGGTTTTCTCATCTCACATGCCTATGTTAGCAGTTTCTTATCATCTGGTTAGTTCAACCTTGCCAATTTGAGTTCACAAGGTGTGCTGTCTGTGAGTGGGCCTTCACTGCAGTGGAATTTTGTTCCTATCAACTCACATTTCCTCACTTTCTTTCCCAGTGGCTGGTGAAACGAGCTATAGAAACAAAAGAAGAGATGGGTGACTATATCCGCTCCTACTCCATATCACAGTTCCAGAAAACCTATAGTCTTCCAGAGGTCAGTATGGTGCTCTTTTTTTCTTATTCATTGAGGGCACGCATGCATACCCAGAGACTCCCAGGTAGGAGCAGCATCAGCTCAGGCTTCCCTGTACCTCACTCCTACCTTGGCATCTCTGCCCATCTTGGTCTCACCTCAGCATTGAAAAGCGACCTTGTGGTTCATTAGAACTATACTTTATTTTTTTTTAATTCATTTATTCACATGTGCATATATTATTTGGGTCATTTCTCCCCCCCTATCCCCTGCCTCCTCCCACTCTCCCCCACCTCCCCTCACTTCCAGGCAGAATCTGTTCTGCCCTTATCTCTAATTTTGTTGAAGAGAAGACATAAGCAATAATAAGGAAGATAAAGCATTTTTGCTAGTTGAGATAAGGATAGTTACACAGAGAGATTCCTAGTATTGCTTCCATGTACAAATGTGTTACATCCCAAGTTGATTCATCTCTAACTGTCCTTTCGACTAGTTCCTGATCCCCTTCTTATATTGACTTCTGTCGCTTTAAGATTTCCATATTAGTTCCTCTGGACTGGGAACATCAAACACTTTCATGTTTTGGGTTTCCTGCCTATCGCCATACCTCCCATATGTGTTCTCCTCTTAGCATATGACCCAAGTCCAACCATAATGCTGTATTTGCCCTAGATCTAAAATCCACATATGAGGGAGAACATACAATTTTTGGTCTTCTGAGCCTGGCTAACCTTGCTCAGAATGATGTAGAACTGTACTTTAAATGCTACTGCACTTACAAGGATTTGAAATGAGAATGCTTGTCTTAAGCACTACACTCCATGGCCCCTCTTTTTTTTTTTTTACTAGCTGTCAGGATCTATTGAAGCCATCTCCACAGTTCCCAGTCTTTTCCTATGGAGAATATATTCAGAAAATTGAGACTTATTCAGGCAAAGTAGTGATTTTATAAAGCAGTTTTCTGAGCAGTCCAGTTGAGTTTTAATCTTCATATGGAATTTAAGTGTTTTGTCTTGTAGGATGATGACTTCATGAAGAGAAAAGACAAAGCCATCAAGACAGTTGTTGACCTCTCAGTAAGTTCACTTGCCTATGCTTTACTTTCCCAGTGCTGCAAATACTTCAGACAGCCTTTGTTTAAATCATAAATCATCTGTGGGGATTGTCCAGGAGCTGTCCTCCAATGGGTGTATGAGGGAAGTCCCGTCTGCCTCACGTGGTCAGTGCCAGGACACCAGCACCACCAGGTAGAATCTGCCACAATGAGTGCCCTGTGCTCATAGTTCTGGTTTTAAGAACTATCAAAATGCAAAGTCTTGCTTATTTACCCAGTGACAGGGTAACTTTGAGTAGCTCCAAAGAGCAGATGATGAACTGGACATGGTAAATTGAACTCGTTGCCCCACGTCTATTCTCATGATGGCTTTGGCAAGGTAGAATGGCTTCTGATCCTTGTGGGAAAGTCAATATACACAGTGCATCTTAATTACTGGTAGTCTGTACACATGTGTCCACTTCCCCAACATAGGGTGGGGCAGAAGGAGACAGCTTCGGTCCTTTTCAAAACACTTTGAGCCAGAGCCAGAGACCCTGGTCAGTGGCACTTCCCATTGCTACAAGTGATGAGAACCAAGTCTCAGTGCTTGAGTATGCAATCTCTTTCTTCCAGAAATAGCATATAGCGTTACTTTATGTCTTGATTATTTCATGCAAATCATCGTACTTATCATTCTACTCAACCTTGTTTGTAAGATTCAACTATACTTATGTAGCTTTAGTTGATTTTATAATTGTCAGTCTGTTGTAGTAATATGTCACCCAGCTTAAATATCAGGTGCACTTTTTATGCAGATGACTTAAGTTGTATTGAGTAATTATCAAGATAGAGGTTCTCTGACATGTGTGGCTTTGTGAGTTGGCTATGTCTTTCCAGAAAAATAATTCTAAACAGGATCATCTTAAGAATACATCTGTTGTCTCCCAGAGTGATTACTCTGAAAAGAACATCATTTGATGATGAAAGACATGAAGTGCTCATGTAAAACAAAAGTCTTTGTCTGTTTATAATTGTAATTTGTATCTTTTCCTCAATTCCATTTTGAAATTGAAGGGGTAGAAAACATTGAAGATATAGGCACTCAAAACCAGATACTGTCTTCAGATTTGGTGGCAATATTAAATAGGAAGAAGAAAAATAATATGACGAATAGTTTTCTTTCCTAGTTATGAAATAGGTATTCAGTTTAGAACATCCTAAAAGATCTTTTTTTTTTTTTAAGATTGATGGATACAGGAGAAGAAAACCAACCTTAACTTCACAACACAGAAACAACCACTTTTAATGCTTAGGCATATCCTTAGTCAGCTTTCTGGCACTATGACAGAATACTTATGAACAACAGTTTAAAGCTGAAGTAGTTATTTTGGTTTCAGAGATTTCAGTCTGCTGTCCCTAGGCTTCATTGCTTTGGGTCCTGGCAAGGCAGGACATCATGACAGGGAGAGCATAGTAGAGCAAAGCTGCTCACCTCCTGGCAGCTGGAAAGCAAAGAGAAATAGAGGAAGGGGCAGGGGACAGAGAATACCCTTCAGGGGCAAGTCTCTAACTAGGCCCCACCTCCTAAATTCTCACCACCTTCTACATCCCATGAAGCTATGAATCCCTTCAATGAATTAATCCCTTGATGAGGTCAACTGTCATGATCCAATCAATTCCCAAAAGTTCCACTTCTGAACATTGCTGGATTGGGGATCAGGCCTTCAACACATGAGCTTTTGAGGACATTTCAGATCCAAAACATAGCATAATAACATCCTAACCTGTTTTTAATGTGTTTTTTAAAATTGAATTGAATCATAATTTAAATATAATTTGGGTTTTTTGTTTTTGTTTTTTGGCTTGCCAATAAGGATCTTTTGGATGCTATTAAAGATTTTTCCTAATAATTCTCATGACAAATAATACCCTGTTAGTTGGATATGCTATTACTTTCCCCTGTTTTAAGTAATAGTATAGTTTTTGGAAAGATAACTACAGATGACAACATTATTTCTGAGGCAGGGAACTGGGGGTTCGACAGCAGAAGAGAAAGGGAGATTTTCTTTTTCTTACAAACTCTGTACTTTTTGAATTTAATACTAAATCTGGTTAACCTATTCAAAAACAGTATGTCCAACTTAAATTTTAATGCTTATTTAAATATCTTCCACCTGTAAATCTTATCCTGAGCCCTGGAAGAGAGTAGAAAATGATACATTATTCTGGCATATATCCCCAAATTTTAACCCAGAATTTAAAAAAGGCCAGCATAACTGTCAATCATCCTATCAGTGAAAGGCCTGGCATCTCCATACCTATGCAATAGTTCAGTCTTTTAGAGGTAGACATGTAATTTCTTCTTCTCATTTGTAATGGAATTTTTTTAACTCACTTCTTGGAAATGGGACTTTATAGAATTAAGGAGGCAATGATAATGACCAGTACCGTGTGCCCAAACATTGATCTGATGTTTATCTGGAATTCATCTAGTTCTTACAACAACCCTATGAAGTGGTAGTATGTGTTTACAAATGAGAAAACTGAAGCCCTGATAGGTTACATAAGGTGTGCATGGTCCCATTGATAATGATGGATCCAGACTTAATCTTGTACCTACTCTGTTGCAACCCTATAGATAAAACGCAGTGTTCAGCTGATTTAAAAAATATATCAAAATAAAGGGAAATAGAAAAAAAGTATGAGTCTCTTTATTATAATTTTTATTGCTTAGCTTATTTCCTTTTCATTTGTGAACTTGATTGACAATACATTTTCAGTAGGAATGGTAAAGAACTTTTATGGATTGACTGGAGGTTACTTTGGGTTTTACTGTTTTCTCCTTTCTTATTACTGAAAACTTCTCACATAGGAAGTTGCTGTCTTAGATTCTTAGCAGAGTTCCATAACCATTAGCTTCCATTCCTCACTGCTACTGCTTCTGCAAGCACTTCCTTAACTGTCTTGAAATGAGATTTCCAAAAGTTTGCTAGAGACTCCAGGCCTGTTGTGCTCATCCCATACTTATTCTTGTGAGCCAGTACAAAAAAGTTAGACACCTTACAGGTTATTTGTTGTCATTCTCCTCAAGGAAAATTCCTTCCTACGTGATAGTGTAGCGCTTTGTAAGGGTCAGATTCTTCAGGGTTCTTTCTCCTTCCAGTCATTGCCAAGTTTCGTCTTTCAGGCATCTTGTCAGTATTTCTTGCCTGCTCCTTATTAATGAATCTAGAATCCTAAATTTAAATTGCTATGGAGAAATTAAGGAATAAAACCTGGTCAATCACACAGTTGCCACATTTCCAGACCCAGCCTTTTATAAAATATGAGTGTAGCTGCTATGTATTTACTGAGTGCCTTTTATGTGCCTGGGACCTAGTTAGGCATTTATATGTCATTAACATTAGAGACTTACATGTTATTAATTCCATTTCATAAATCAGGAAATTGAAGCTCAGAAAGGTTAATAAATTCCCTTCATAACTATAGAGATAGAAAGAGGCAGCCAGGTTTTGATTTTTCGTCTGACTCCCACACAACAGGTGCTGGTGCTTCTCAATTTTCCTGAGTCCCTTAGTCTCTGCTTTCCCACACATTCCTGACACTGATTTTGCCATTATGTTCCTGACTTTTTGCTAGACTCTGAGGTATTTATCTGGGTCCTAGAGAATCAGATATATCAGAGTGTTTAGACACTCTCCCAGCCCTTTTTCAGTCTCTTAGGGGACATTTCCTTTGACTTTTCCCATTTGTAGATGGGAGGGTAGATGCTAGGTGGGGCTGTCCTGTTGTCTTCTTTTTTATCTATCAACATGACACTGTTGTACCCCCACCAGCAGGCTTTTACTTAATCTCTCTTAAAAAAGTAAGTACTACCATTTAGATACTAAATAAATATCTAAATATTTAGCTTATTCTTTCCTTTAAGCCATCTTTAGAAAACTGTTCTAATCTTTTACAACTGTCCTTGGTTATGTGGCCCATCCAATATTTTGGTATGTACCTTTTTATTTTAAAAAGTTTTTTTTTTCTTTAACACTAATGCTGTAGCAACAGTAATGAAATGTTAGGAATTGAAGGAAAATACAAAGACCAAATCATCTATGATCCCACTAGCCAGAGATACCACAGGTATCAAAGTAAGAAATGCAGAGTTACAGATATCACTAGAGATCTGAAAAAAATAAAAAGACATTACATTGTTTTTCTGTTTTGTTGCTTGCTTATTTTGCTCAATAATACATTGAGGCCATTTTCTCATTCCAATAAATATACCTCCATAGCATTTTTAGTGACTATTGGACATTCATTGTGTGGAGCTAATTTAAGTGGTTTAGCTTGCCTTGCATCTTTTTCTTCCTTTCTTGGCCTTTATGTAGGACTTCCTTATAGGTAATTTTTTCTTTTATCTCTAACTATTTACTAGGGTACATTCCATAAAATAGATTGGGTTCGAAGGTCTTGCCTAAGGCTTTTAATACCTCTTGCTAGGGCCCCAGACAAAAAGACTATATAGTAACCTTTAACATCTTAGCTCATCAGTTCTGTCTTGGCCCCATTTTTTTTCCCCTAATGATTTTTCCTAGTAATCTGCTTTTTGTCTTTGAAATGTGTTATTCTTTTACTTCTTCCTACCTCCTTTTCACTGAATACCTAGCTACTCCTTTAGAAGGGCTGCCCACTGGAAGGTGGTTTTTTCCAAAGGACATAAAAAATGGCCACTTAGCCCTCTCATGATAGCTTTCCTCTGAGCACCTCCCACTTTTGCATTGTAATCATCATGGGCTCCTCTTCTGAGCAGGCAGCTCAGTGAGGTCTTTTACTTTCTTTAAGGGCCCCCACAAAGTTTTGCCCAAAGCCCCAAAGTATGTATTTTAATAATATAGTAATTCATGTGAGAATAGGACTTGTCAGAACTTCTGGCTAGTTGGAAGGAAACCGTTTGTTGAAGTTACTGAATCACCTAAGAGACCCATTTAAAATGTCCTTTGAGGTTTGGGGCATTGCTCAAATGGTAGAGTGACTGCCTAGCAAGCTCAAGGCCCTAGAGTTCAAACCCCAGTACTGTCAAAAAGTCATTTAAAATTTCTACAACAGTGTGCTCTTCTGTGGGGAATGCTCTGAGGAAGGTCTTTTTATCCCACATGTAAAATGTAGATGTAATGACAGAAGTAAGACAATATAGTCTTTTTTATTAATAGTGATACACATCCACATGTATGTAAAAATATGTCTTTGCCCTTCCTGTGTTAAGTACTGTTAAATATATTTATTGGTTAATCCTCACGGCTCTACCTGTTTTACAGCTGGAATACTTGTCCCAGATCAGAGAGGTAGTTAGTAACAGAGCAAGGACTAAAAGCCTGGTCTGAGTCCATTTATTCATTTGGTGATATTGAGCACTCACTGTGTGCTAGACCATGTTCTAGCTTAATAAAAAGAGCCATGAGGTGGCAGGAGTACATACCAGCTTTATTTGGCCACAGCTCTAGCAGGTTTGCTCATGGAGTCAGGAGTCCCTCATTTTATGAGGTCATTCAGAAGCTTTAGGCTCAGGAGCACTGTCCAGAGAGGAGAAGAGCAGGAAAACTGCCACAGGGATCATAGAGGAGGCTTTTTGGCTGGGTGAGGTTGCTCAGCAGCACACAAGGGAGTCTGGTCCAGATGCCCAAAGGGTAGCAGTAGCTGGGGTCTTTATAGTCTCCATTTGCTCCAGGGCAGGAGGAGCAAATGCTAGCAATTTCAAAGGGTATAATTTTGAAGGATATACAAAGTAGACACTCTTTAAATTGCTAGAATTCACACAGTTAAAGCAACTAGCTGTGTAAAAATTTTGAGTTTGGTATGTTGGCCAATTTTTGCGCTAAGAGGTCTCAGTTACTGCAAAGAAATGAGCAACCAAATGACCCAGACACAGAAGCCATCTTTAGCTCATTTATATAACATACCTTGTTTTTATCTGCCATGTTATACTGTTTGGTAGACTCAGGAGCCTCAAGGTTGCACATGTGTTGAATATCAAAAAGCAGAAGGTAGACTTGCACAGCAGACCTCTGCTCATGTAAAAGAAAATAGAGAAGGAACAAGGTCTGGGGCTGTCTGTGGAAAAGTACACAAATGATTGCCGTCTGTCCATCTCTTAGCATTAACATCATTCAGTACCCTGGGGCTTTGTTTTGCTATTGTCTTGTTAATGTGAGAATTAGATAAAAGAAAACAATTTATTCAGCTATAGATTTTTTTCTTGTGGGATCTTTCAGGACATTGCACTTGGCAGTAAAAATCTCTGTGGAGCCCTTGTGGGGTAGGTGGATTTATTCACAGGCTTTCTACACTGAGGGGTGTCTCTTAGTGTTGGGTTTGAGCTGTGAGAATTAGCAGTTAAGGTCAACGGAGGCAACTCAAGAAAATGTAGTTTCCTGCTGAGTTAGATGTGGTCTGAGCTTTTGAGTGTAGAATGCCAGGTTGGTAGTGGCTGTGTCATACCTGCTCTGTTATTTCAATAAAGAAGTCGTCTACCATAATTGTAAGGGCAGCAATCAGGGATTTGCTGCAGACACTGCCATGGTGCTATGCTGGTCTACTTCCCTGCCATACCATTTGGAATGTGGACTCAGAGGCATCACTCTGACAAGTGAACCTAACTCATAACTAGACCTGTGAGTAGAAATCTGATCTCACAGCACAGGAGCTCTCTGCTTTACAAAAGGGTCACCTTAACTTTTTAATGCTGTTCATGTGTCCTTTGTCATCTGCTAAGACAAAATGTCAGAACCCACGATGAGGGATGATCAGAATTGAGGTATAAAACATTTACAGAATGTTTCCAAGTCCCAGTTCTGATGTCATCCTCTCTGTATCACTTAGTGCCTTGTTAACCTCGGGCAAGTTGTTAAACTCTCTGCCTAAGTTTTGTCTGTTGACAGAAAACAAGGATAGCTACCCTCATAGGTGTTAGGATCAAAAGGGCAGCACATATATAGCAGTCTATACCTGCCTGCCATGTACCTACCATGAAAAAAAAGATAGCTCTTACTATTAGTGGAAAAAGACAAAATTGATTCTATATATCTTTTGTAAAAAGAGTATAACCATGTGCAAAGCATGGGTTTTTTTTTTTTTTTTATTAATCTCAGACTTTAAGTTGACAGAATTATGTTACCAAGTTATATCTTTACAGGATTTAAAAACACAAGGAATGAGAGACTGGGAGTGTCTTTTAAGATCTGTTGGACCACCCTCATTTTACAGATAAGAAATTGAGGGCCATTGAGGAGAACTGCCTTTCCGAACATCATAAAGCTGGTTAGTGGCAGAAATGGGACACAATATCAGCATTCCTGACTCTCGCTTTAAAGGGTGATTAACAATGGCACTTTATAGTTGGCCTGGAAACCTGTGACATTTAGCTCTTCATTGCTTAAGCAAACCATTATATTGATCAATGTGGCAGCTACAGATTACATAATGAGTCTTAGGAGAGGGCTTGCTGAAATGGGTGACGGTTGGCTAGAATGTCTATGAGGGGCAAGTTATTGTACTAGAAAAGCTTTGATATTAGAAGCCAATGTACTGGGACCTAACACTATATTTGTGTGTGGGGGGAGGTGAGGGGCTGGGTACTGGGGTTTGAGTTCAGGGCCTTGTGTTTACTAGGCAGGTGCCGTACCACTTGAGCTATGCTCCCATCCGTTTATTGCTTTAGTTATTTTTTAGGTAGAGTCTCACATTTTTGCCTGTGTCTGCCTCAACCATGATCTTCCTACCTATGCCTCACATGTAGTTTGAATAATAGACTAGGTGTGTGCTACCACACCAGGCTTGTTTATTGAGATGGGGGCAGGGAGTGTCTCATGAACTTTATGCCTGGGCAGTCCTCAAATTGCCATCCTTCTGATCGCCACTTTCTGAGTAGCTGAGATTATAGGTGTGAGCCACTGTACCTGGACTTCATACTATTTTAGACTTAATGTCCTAGGGATGTATGACAAATTATTTCATTTCTGCTTCCATAGTACTAGACTGAAAATAATAGCATGTACCCTGCCTCATAGTGGTTGTAAAATGCAAACAGTGAGATATATAAGAGGGCATAAACTTTAAGTGTAAAGTGCATACAAAAGCCAACATTGTCATTGTTTGGCAGAATTAAAGGACCTTTTAACTGTTGTTTCAGATGCTATTGTTTTGGAGTCAGTCCTTTTTTAGAAGAATCCAATTTCCTGTCTTGGGTCATTGACTCTTTCAATTGAAATTAAGGAAGATAGTAGTTAAGCTTAATTATATAGCACTGCTAAAATAGCAGAGCTCAGTGAAAATTAAATTATACACAGTAACTATATCATGTGGTCTCATTATATTTTTCACTCACTATAAGTCTGTTTTATGTTATTTATAGCTTCCTATTCATGTAGAAACTAGGAGCAAACTAGGGAATATTTGTGGCAGCAATTTGTGAAAACAGCCCTCCAGCATCATTCCAACCATGTTGTGTTCCCCTTTCCACAAAATTGTTGACATTATTAGTGTGTCTCATAGATTGTTCAACTTTTCATAAGGAAAAGTAAAATAACAATAGAATTAACCATAGTTAGTTATGGTCTCTCACCTGAGCGAACACTTCTTGCCTCTATGTCTTTGGCAGTCCCTGAAGACAGCTATCTTGAGTGATCCCTGCCCTGCAGCAGAGGTGGGGGCACCTCCGCAAGGATGGTTACAGATCCATTCCTACTTCCCAGCTGGAGGCATCCAGCAGGCAGTTCAGGAAAGCCTCCTCACACTTCGTAACTTTCCTTTCTCATCCACTTAGGATGTTTACAAGCCTCGTCGGAAGTACAAACGCCAACAGGGAGCTGAGTTGCTGCTTGATGAAGAATCTCGAATTCATGCTACACTTTTGGAGTATGGCAGGTAATGAACTGGTTTCAAGCTAAGTGTCTGTTTTATAAAGCCATTTAAAAGAAAAGTTTGGCATAACTGGGTTGGCTTCTACCTGATTGAGTTTACTATTTTCAGACATGAGATTTCCATTATTAGGGATTTTTCTCTCTGATATTAAAATGCCATGGGTAGTCTTCGCAATTCCCCTCTGGAAATGTGTATGTAGCTATGTACTAGGCTTTGCCTTCCTTAAGGAGTTAAGGGGTTTGGAGCATTTTCAGAGGCCAGGCTGGTGTACCCTTCATTGCCTGCCATTTACTGAAATCTTTAATTAAATGGAAGAAATGGAGGCACTTTCAGCAGTTTCAACCAAGTATTAGAATAATAATTTTTGTTTTCCAGGAAGATTGTTTCGACTAGAAAAATGGAAATTTCAGAAACAGTTTTTATTTTATATCCTTAGTGTTTTCTTAAAAAAAAAAACCCACAATTGATTGGTGCTGAGTATTAACCTTCATTTATGTCCTACATTCTCTACTTAGGGTAACTGATCCTTTGATGTGAGTATGTCTCCTCGTACTTTGTTCTTTGTGCTGTGACATCTTCCTCCATGCTGCTCTGCCACACATTCCAACCCTTGTTGGATGGCTGAAACTAACTGCACCATCACTAGCAATTCCCTGAGTGAACATATGATGGCTTTCTCCTCTAGGGTACTGGAGAGAACTTGAGAAAACTAGGCTTCATTATTCTTGCTTTGTTTTTGCAGTGATAGTATGAGGTCAAGTCTTTCCCTCCCAAGAATAAACTAGTCTGATCCAAAAGAAGTTGGATTTGTTTTAGCCCTAAGCCAGGTACAGTGGCTGTCCTCGCAGCTCACCAGTTGCTGCTGTGAATTGAATACCTCCTCTGAGTCAGGCACCACCTGCACCAGCCACATAATTTTGGCCCAGCACAAAATGAAAATAAATGGCTACTCATTAAGAACTATTAATGATGACTAACTATTAAGAATTTTAGAGAATTGGTGGAGTGGGCTCAAGCAGTAAGAGTGCCTGCCTAGTAGGCATGAGACCCTGAATTTAAACTCCAGGCCCCCCACCCCCTCAAAAAAAGAATTTAGAACAGCAACAATCACCAAGTGAAAGACCTTTCTAAGCTTGGGTCCCTGTGCAAGTAGATGGTTTGCATGCTTAAGGAAGCCAAGGCCTGGTTGCAAGTGGGTAGGGGAAGCTTCAAAGCTCTGGACGAGCCAGCACTGGAGAGAAGCTCTGTGGTGTCACATGTCCCAGAGCCAAGGAGTACTTAGGGGTTGTAGTGGAATTTATCAGTTTAGATTGTTGGTGGTCTGTATTTTTTTTCCATTTTCATAGAAAATCATACACTTATGGGGATGAAAAGATGGCAGAGATTCAGTAAATTGCTTATTAAATTCCTTACTAAGACCATGTTGATAGTATTTCAATATCTTGCTCTGAAATTCTGTTTCAAATGGGACCTTTAAAAGTATGTGTGTTGTAGATGGTATCATTGTCCCCATATGAAAGCTGGGGAAATTCAGAATATCCCCAGCCATCCTGGACTAGACAGGGCAGTTTGATGCCAGTATGTGGCTTGGCTCCCTTTAGGAAAGGGAACAAGGCACACATTTCATGTGTAACTCCTCTCAAATTCTGAATATGAGAAAGAGCAAAGAGTCTTAATCCCAGTTTTTGTTTCTGCTGGTGGGATCATGCTGACAGACTGATTTCTAAATATGGGGTAGGTGTGCTATGAAGGTTTTGGGGTTTTGTTTCTTTTAGGAGAGGAGTCATTTTGCTTTCTTTTTTGGCTTTTCTGGCAGGGAGAGGTTAAGTTTGTGGGAGATGGAGTAATGGATACTTTGGACATTCTGATAGTTCATGTAGCTCATAAACCTCACAAGAAGAATAATGGTGACATTCAGAAAGATTAGAAAGTAACTTGCCAAAGGTCACTGAACTAGTAAGAGGCTCAGCTTGAGGCTTGAACTCAGGTCTCTTGTTCTGCAAAAGTATATCATTATCCTTGTCTGCAAACATTGTTTGAGGCTCCAGTGAGAGTGTATTGTTAGGCTTATGGTTTTAGAAAGACAGGCCCAGTGTTGGTTGTTTGGTCTAGACTGAACAAGAAGAGAGTGACTACTGAAACTGACAGAACAAATTGGATAACACTTAAAGGGATTCCCCTGCCTGTTCAATTCTTAGTACTCCATAGAGCTCTTTCCCATTAAGTAGGTATCATATAACTGTATATATAACTACATATATATATATATAACTAATATATGTGTATGTATGTGTGTGTACATATATAAAGTGAATTTTAGCAATTTGTCCAGTGTAGAAAACACTCAGAGGCTATCACTGTTTTTCTTGTAACTGTCATTGTCAACAGCTAGTTTTCAGGTCTTACATGTATGCCCTTGAATATGATCTGTAGGGTCAAATAAGGGTTCCATCCTGAACCTCCCTTTCTGTTTCTCCTTTTCCCTATGCACTCCTTACCCCAGCACTAGCCTTCCTTCCAGCGTGTGTATGCTATCAGACAAAACTGGCCATTGCTGGATCTTCACTGAACATCTCCCCTCATCAACTGGTGTTCCCAAATTCATCATCCCCACTAACATGGCACTGTAACTTTAAGAATCTAAATCCTTCAGCTGTGTCACTGTTTCTGTTCTACCTCCTCTCATCTCTTGACAAGGGAGAAAGATTTTGATTCCTAGAGCAAGAAGGTCAGTATCAGAGGATATTCATCATAGCCTTATGACCATAGTGCCCGCTGGCTCTGATGTCACCATTCTAACTCCCTCCTTTTCCAACTCTCAGCTGCTCAAATAAGACTGGACTTTGAGCCTGGCCAGCCATGACAAAGGTCTTAAAGACTGTATATCTGTTAAAAACATGTTTGAGTATATTTTTAAATGTTACAATGTTGTAATAACAAGACTTAATAGTTTTAATTTAATATTTCAGTTTTATTATTGGTTCAACCAACTTTTAGAAACTAACTTACATACCTAACCATGTATAAAACTGGTCCTATGGGGAAATGCATCTTATGTGCTGAATATTTGACTTACAAGTGGAATTTTGGAGCAAATTATATGTGTCCCCTGTGATGATAAGTCCTGTGATATACTCATTGAAAGTAGTTGGTAAATTCCTGTTGAAGGAACACAGAGTTTACAGTATTATATAAATCTAAAACAGGCAAATTTGTAGAGACAGAAAGTAGATTAGTAGTAGCCAGGAACTGTGGAAAGGAAGAAATTGAGACTAATTACTAATAGGTACAGTTTTTTTGGCAGGGAGTGGGTAACAGAACTTTCTGGATTTAGATAGTGGTGATGGTTGCACAGCATAGTGCACTAAAAACCACTGAAGTATATATTTTAAAATAACAAATTTTGTATTACATGAGTTATAAATTATTTAAAAAACTAGTACATGAAAAATATCTTTTCCTTCAGGAGCTCAACAGGCAGGTTTTAGGGTGGAAGGGGCTACACATACAAGTAATTATCTTATACTGTGTAATGAGTGCTTGTGGTATAAATGCAGAAATACCCTACTGGGAGGCTAACCCAGTTTTAGGTGGTTAGAAGAGTTTTCCTAGAGCCTCTGTCTTGAAAGAGGAGCAGATGGGATCTGGGAATTGGGTCACTCAGGTTTAGTTGTTTACTAAATATTCCAGGGCCTTTGATGAGGGCTGTCTGCCTGAAGGTATGTCTTCTGCCCTATGGGTCTCTGCAGACTAAAGGCCTGGAGAACCAGGACATGATCTGGATACAAGGATACTTCTAGGAGTGGGAAGCTTTGGCGAGATCACATGTGGGTCAGGGTTCCCTGGTTGAGAATATAGTGTCTGAGATGAGTTTCAGCAGAAGGGCTTTTTTGATCACAGAAGTTGATGGGAACTAGACTTAGCCAGGATCAGACCTCTGCCAAAATCAGGATGCTATCTCTGTGAAACCAGGAAGCCACTGCTTCTGGCCCCAGATTAGGCTGCTTCTAGTGTGATACATGCCAGCACAGTGGATCCTCTTTTTTCCTCATTTAACTGTTCTACATGTACAGCTCTAGTAAATGCATCTGATTGATGGGACCTAAGTACTCAGGGAGTATGAAAATAGTCTGTTGTTTTCCAGTCTCTGCATTATAGGAAAATGCAATTGATATTGATTAAGCCCATTTACAGAGTGTACCATAAAGCCCTTTACAGAATTTGTATAGAGATTCAAAGTTTAACTATAGATTAAATCTGCTACATTTTGGGCCTGTAGATTTGTGCCTAAAGTATGGGCTCGCTTCCCAGCAGGAATTTTTTGGTCTCTAATTATGTGGCAGCCTATTTAAGGCTTGGTGATACTTGGGGCATTTTGATTTCTCCAACTTTTTCATTTATGTTTAGTTTACTCATTCAACAAATACTAGAAATACAAAATGTAAAAGTGGAATTATTGCCCTCAGGGAGAAGGATGCAGACATGCAACTAGGTGGTTGGGCATAATTGCCATCTGGGAAGTGAAAGGAGCATGCACTGAGGCAGGATGCACGCACACACACACACACACACACACTCACTATGGTAGAGCTTTGGAGAGGTGAATAGGGAAGTAGGAAGAGAGCAAAGAACAGTTCAGCCTGTGCAAAGCTTGCTGTTCAGACAGTAGATGGAGCAAGAGTGTGTGAAGCAAGTTGCTAGGGATGAGGCTGAGCCTTAGTCAAGGCCATGGACCTGAGGGAGGTGAACGTGGATCAAGCCAGAGTGAAATTGGATTAAGAATGGGTAGAATGGCCATGCACAGTGGCTCAAGTCTGTAATTCTAGCTACTCTGCAGCCAGGAATTGGAAGGATATCATGGTTCAAGGCCAGCCCAGGTAAAAAGTTCACGAGATCCCTTTTCAACAGTGGCTGATCTCCTTGGCACATGCTTGTGACCCCAGCTATGCAGGGAAGCATAACTAGGAGTACCGTGGTCCAGGCCAGCCTGAGCTCAAAGCAAGACTCTATCTCAAAAATAACCAACAACACAGAAAGAGCTGGTACTGTGGCTCTGTGGTGAGCACCTGCCTACTAAGCATGAGACCCTGAGTTCAATCCCCAGTTCTCCCCTCCCACCACCACTGGATAGGAACAGTGGTGGGAGGAGACTGCAGGTCTTAGACCAGTAGAGACAGCACTGACCAGCAGATGAGGCATAGCCAGAGCTGGGATAGAGTGAAACCCCTAATTGATTTTTCTTAAATGGTTGCATGTAATTTTTTTTTCAGTTCAAACTAAAGTATATGAGCCAGAGTGTTTTGCATTATGCTTTTTTGTTTTTTGGTTGAAAAGTTTTTGCAAAAAACATAGACTAAATAGAGCCAGAAAATAAACTAATTTAAACTGAAGGGTGTGTGTATGTGCGTGTGTGTGTTGTAAGGTTGCATGAAGTGAATACACATTGTTGACATCACGCTTGGGTTATGCTTAAGAATAAAACGTGCAGGACTCAGAATGACTAAAATAATACTGAGGAGCATTGTCAGCTTGAGCAAATACATTCAAACTTGTTCACACTGATATTTTAAAAGCATTAAGCTTACACTATGGCTCTGAAATGCTGTTCCTGATTCAGAGTAATAACTGCACTTTAAGGAAATGTTGCACTCTATACTATTGGAGAGTTCCCTTTTATAGTATTTGTATAGCAAATAGCATGTTTGGCCTTTTATTCAAAAGCTGGTAGAATATACTTCAGTGTAAGACACTTGAAACATTTTCTCCAAGCACCAAATAGCCTACATCCTCTTTGCTTGTCTTGTAAAAAATCCAACCAAAATGCATTTATTGGAATTTATTGTGATTTTTAAGTAGTAATTGAATTCCACACCCCCCACCCCTTTTTTTTTTTGTGGCTTGCAGGAGATACGGATTTACCCGCCAGAGCAAAACAGAGAAGGTAAGAAAAACATAGGTTATGGGAGATAGCAGCACCTTCCCCTTTTGGCCTCTGCCTGACAGGTGGGCAGCAGCTCCCTGGAAAACCCAGGAGGAGTGTGACGAAAGGGTTACTTGCCATCCAGGTGCTGGGCCCTGGGCAGACTGAGGCCACAGGATGTGCCAGCTGCCTTAGGACCCTGCTCTCCATCCTAGAATTTCTAGCATCTTCTTCTGCATGCCAGGGAGCTCAAGCAGTAGTCTCATCTCTGGGCTTGAGGTGAAGGGTGACTGAAATTGTGGTCTTGGGTTAATGAAGTGGACTCTAAAAGTGTGAGGAGGAAGTCCTCTCAGAACTTCCAGTATACTCCTCATCTAATGACAGGTCCCTAGACAGATGAGAACAGGATGCTAGCAGTGAGATAGAATTAATTTTTAAATTATAAGTCTGCCCTCTACCAAGGTAGCCAAGTGTGTAAGAGCTAGGGAAATTAGGCTCGGGTCGTCCAACTTCATGAAGGAATCTCAAAGATTTCCATTAGTTTATGTATTTATTAATGATCCTTAATTATCAGCAACAGGGCAGGCACATTAATCTTACAATACCAAACTCTTACCATGTTCCAGGTCCTTTGTTAAGGGCTTTGCATGTATTTTTTCACTTACTTCCTGAAACAGCTCAGTAAGGAGGATACTTATTCCTGGTTTTTAGGTCAGAGAGGCTCAGTGATTGTCCAAGTTCACACAGTCCTAAAGTGCCATAATAAGAATTCAAACTGAGGTCTGTGTGACATCAAAGCCTGCACTTTTAACCACTGCCTTGTGAATAATCAAGTGCCCTCTAAAGTGGACAGTGGCTTCTTAAGAAGAGGCTCACAGCTTGAAATCTGTTAATGACTCTCTTGCTCCTTGCCTGACTTCCAGATTTTCTTGACTAGGATACATTCTTCCTGATGTTCTCCTGCTATCCTATCGACTTTTCAGCTCCCCAGCCTCCGTCTGCTTCCTGGGATGATTGTCTCAGTCATTGGAGGCTCTGACAGTTACCAAGAGAGAGTGTTGTAAAGCTAGACTGGTTAGTTTCAAATCCTAGCTCCTCTCCTTTACTGTGTATGACTGGATAATTTGTATAATCATCGAAGTGTAGCTCACAGCATCTGTAAAATAGGGCAGTCACAGCATTGTTGTGAAAACTAAAATATAAAGGACCTACAATGATCCAACACATTGTAAATATTTAATAAGCATTAAATATTAGTAGTAGTATTAGTTTGTTAGCAGTAGTCATACACTGATTATAATATCTTCTTTTTTTGATTTTCCCATTTATTTTTCCCAAATTTATGTTTTAACTCAATCAAATAATCATTTCCTGCAGAGCAGCGTATTTTCTAGACACGAGTCAACATCAGTGTGTAATCTGGTAATAATGTAAGGATTAGATGTGTGTATTTAGTTTGATGTGTAATTTGAGTTGGAAAGGAATTTGGTGTATATGACTACATTCTGAAATAAGGAAGTTTGGTTAGAACTGCAAAAATCATGAGGTGCCCATGAAATAGTATTCAAATTGGGCTCGTCTTGTTCTGATATCAGATGGCACATTTGACCTGGCGGTCTTATCCCCGCATAGATATGTCCAAATAGTTAAGAGCTCAGGGTGTTCTGTGGGCAATGGTAAACTTGTTATAGGAAAGCATCCTAGAGTTGGAATGGTCTTAGAAGGGCCTCTGAGACTAATCTTCACTTTCAACCTACAAGACCCTGATATTAAAGGTCAATTGTAAGCCTATGGCCACCCAGATGATGGATGGCAGAGGTGGAATTAAAACCAAGAGCTGTATATTTTCAGCCCATGTTTAGGGAAGAGCAGTTTATCTGAGCTGTCTTGAGTGGGACCAGTACATCAAGAGCCTGAGGTTAGGTCAGAGCATGCACCTTGAACAACAGATGAAGCAGCTAGATTTGATTTTCAAACTTTTTTGACCACTCTTAGCAATAAAAATTTTAATTTTTGTTGTGATTCAGTACACATACTGACACCCCACAAAACCAAACTTTACTAAGTAGCACTGAACCTTTTATCATCTACAAAGTATCCTGACACCCCTAAAAGCCAAACTTTACTAAGTAGTACTTAACTTTTTACTACTATTACTTTTATCTGTTCTGTTACTTTTATTTGAGTAGATGTTAGTCATATCTGCTAAAATACTTTCTTGTTCCATTAATGGGTCTTAGCTGGCAATTTGAAGAAACACTGCTCTTGCAGCGATCTGCCCTGAGGTTGTTAAACAGGGGGAAGACCCCATCAAAGAGTAACAGCAAGTCTGGCAATTGTGTGTGGTCCAGTGTTCATTTAATCAGAGGCAGTTCTGTGACAGAAACAGACATCGCCAGCCAGTGACATGTGGAGCGCAGGCTCAGCCTTTGGACCATCTGTTCTCTCTTGGATTGACTCAGCTCTCAGATCACTGTTTCTTTCACAAGCTCATGCCTTTTGGAGACTTTGCTGAGTCTCTCCAACTCTGATGCTCAGCTGTTTTCACATCTTCCTTGCAGGCTGAGGACAAGAAAATGACACTTGCTGCAGGGCTGTCAGCTACAGAAAAAACAGATGCCCATGAGGAAGATGAGCTTCAAGCAGCTGAAGAGGTGCGTGGCCTAAGTTGTCCCTCTCTAAGTCACTTGAGAAGAGCTTGTGCTCCATTCCTAGCTTTCCCAAATGGCCAGCTGCTGGGAGCTGCCTTCCATGCCTTGCAGTTCCCTTCCATCACCCATCTTGAGGCTCACACTAAACCAGATCAAGGAAACAACCCTGGGATTTTGCAGAGAGCCTGGTGTAGTTGTTTGCTTCAGTCTTATGTGGTCAGAATTGCTCACTATTGCTTCTTCCATTCCTCTTTCAGCAGCGCATTCAGTCACTGATGAACAAGATGACAGCCATGGCAAATGAGGAGGTGAGGGACTGTGGGGAGTGGTGGGGGTGCATGGAGATGGGTACATGGCATACCCTCTGCTCTCGAGGGCATCATCCTAAGGGATCACTTTCTCTAGAACCCATTCTGTCCAGTAGTGCTGAGGCCTGCTCCTCAGCACTGGGAAGCTTTTTGTAGTGCATAGTGTTGCTCTTTAGGAGGGAGACTTGAAGAATGTCCCTGGCGGAACAGCTCACAGGCCTCTGCAGAGGGGCAAGTTAAGCCCTGCTCCTCCATAACCACAAGTTCCACCTGTGCTGAAGGAGGCCCTGTCTAAAGTTTCATTCTGAAACCAGCTAGGTAGGAGATGGAATCCCAGGTTTATAGTTGGTCTTCCTAGAGCGCAAAGCCCTTGCAGACGTTTTAGCCACATGCTTGGAAAGGATCATTTCTTTTGAGGCCAGAAAAGGCCTATGGCAGTAAGGACATATTTTGGTAGCTTGATTTCCCTTTTGCTCTTCTCTGAGTCCTAGCCCTCTAAGTGCCCTAAAGGCTCAGTTTAGTGACCCTCATGAGTCTAGCACATGGGGGCATGGGGGTGAAGAATGGTTTTCTGGGGGGTACTCAGGGCCCAAGGGGAAGATAGCACAGCCATTTGCGTGACTCAGGAAATGAGAGGTGGCTCTGACATTGTCCTGAGGATGTTTTCTCCCTTCCTTGTTGATGAAGAAGTTGGTAAAGCCAACTTTCATATTTTGCAATAATACTGAGTGTTGAGGATTTCCAGTTCTGTGAAAGACAAGCCATGGACTTCAGAACACACCCCCATGTGATTGCAGAGCCGTCTCACTGCAAGCTCCGTGGGCCAGATTGTGGGCCTCTGCTCCGCTGAGATCAAGCAGATTGTGTCTGAGTATGCAGAGAAGGTAGGTGGGTGCCCATTGGAGTCTGTGCCTCAGGTAATGCCCCAAAACTTTGTTCTCCCACTTCCTTCCCCCTGCAGTTGTGAAGTCTGATTCTAATTTATTAGCTATGTTTGTCAAAAACTTAGATACTCTACTTTACCATGTACAGCCATCAGCATTTGCCTATTAGCTAAATTAATTTTGTTCTACAGTGCCCATTTTTTATAAATATTAAGAGAAAATTCTGTCTCTTATCATGGTCACATTTGATACATTGTTGCCTGAGGTATGACACAGGCATTTTTCCTTCCCTATCACACTTATAACTCAGGCCCAGTTTTATGACTGGGCTGAGGAATGAAGCTTTTTTGCCTCTTAGGAGATAAACCCCATAACTCAGCCAAGCCCAAGGCAAAATTTTTTGTTCTACTTTATTAAAAGAGTATAAAATGAACAAAAGCCTCACAGCCATATTTCAGCATTAATTTTTTTTTCCAATCCTCAGAAAAAGCAGGAGGACCTTGAATATTTCAGGGAGGAGGTGATTAATCACTTTGCACCTAACTGATTCTGGTCTGGCTAAGATGTAGTATAGGCAAGATCTGATTTATAAGGCATTGTTTCACATTCCTCCTTCCTCAGCCTTACACATTTTGCTACCTTAAAATGTTGATGTCTGCTGGAGCATTTAGCTTTGCTTTCCTTATCTCCGAATCCTTGACAACAAATTAGTTCCACCTTTACCTTCTGCAACGATGACCTTCTGAAATGATTGCACAGATGGTATAGTCAGGGAAAAAGTGTTGCCTGTAACCTGAATATGATCTGCTATAAACATAGCAAGCAATCATCTCCCACCAAGTGGGGGAGCTTCTGAGAGAGACAGTAATAAGTTGGAATGTGTGGGACAGGGTTTCCTTGTCCCCAAGTAAATGCTTCTGAACATAGGCTTTCTAATCCAGCTCTCCTAGACTCCAGAGTACTCTGTCTTTCCATTTGCAACCTAGAAAGGATGAAACCAAAGTGCCATCTGAGATTTGACCAGAAAAAGATTTTGGTTATCCTAAAAGTGTAAATAAACTCAAAAGAATTGAAGCTGTAGTTGTAGAAACAGTGATTAAGTCATCACCCTCAGAAGAAAGTGCCTTGGTCTCCTGTCAATACACACAACTAAATGGCAAGTGTGATTATGCTCTACCCATAAGTTGCTACATAATGTTCCTGAATGCAGCTATTCAGGGGAAAAAAAAAGACACTAGATCAGGCATCCATTGCTGTATCTGCAGAGACTCTGATTTCAATCTTCAGTCTTATCCACTGTGAGCAGATAGGAGCTTGGATTATTGAAGGAGAGAAAGTGAGCAGGCAGCCACTCCATTGGTTGGAAGTGTACCTCTCCTCGCCAGCTCTTTCCCATTTAGGAGCCTAGGAATGCAAAAGCTTACTTGCCTACCCCAGGCAGCCCTGCATTTGCTGTGTTTCCCCCTGGGCTTCTGTCCCTCATCTCCTGAGTTTTGTCATTCTAACCTTGTGCTGTGATCTCAATCCACTTCTGAGGACTGCATGCTGGTATTAATCCTAGATTGTCTTTCATTGTCATTCTTCTAAAACTGAGTGAAATTAGAAGTAATTTTGGATAGAAAGCAACACCAAGTCTCTTTCTAAGAAAGTGTCTAATTAGATTTTGCATGAAAAATTGGAGAAGGTCAAATGTTCACTGTTTATCTGTTGTTTTCATTTAGGAGATCATTTGGCATTAAAGTTGATTTTTTAAAAAATTGCTTTTAATCCTATTCCCATATCACAGTTATTTCACATTTGTATATTATCTTCTGTTTGTCCCCACATGTCCACAACTGTGCATAGTTGCTATCCTTATTTGTGTTTGAGAGAGGTAGGACAGTGCCGTGATTAGAAACACAGCATGGAAAGTGTATTTTCACTCATATCTGTCTCCTTCGCTCTCAGCTATGAGTTTGGCCAATTATTTAACTTCTCTTTGCCCCAGTACCTTCATCTGTAAAATGAGAATAATACTACTTTCAGGCATTATGAAGATTCATTGCCTCTAAACAGTGCACATTTTAGCTCTTCAGTTACTACACTTCTGTTGTATCATCTCTGAGACATTTTTCATGCTTCTAACTTTCACATTTCTTTGAACATATGTAATTTGTGTGTTAATACAACACAATTCAGTAAACATTTCTCATTAAACTTTTCTTAAGCTATTTCTGTTTGCCTTATAGATAATATTATGAAGTCTGAGTTTCTGCTAAAGGTTTTTTGGGATTTAGATGGTTGGTCTTAGATGGAGGGTTGTGACTCCTCCTCAGTGCTGATTTACACACAGGTTGTAACAATATAAAACATTATAAGTTGTCAAGGGTCTTCCCAGCATACCCCCAACTTTGATGTTGAGGGCTTCCAGCTTTTATGTTCATTTGTCTTACTTGCTATGTAGTAGATATAAAATGTACTGCTTTGACCCACTGGGAATTGAAGGTGGTTCCATTTTTTGTTATTGTTGTTTATTTTCTCCCATGTGTTGTCTACAACAGATTTTGCTCATCTCTCTTTTGGAACATGTGATATTTTCCTTATAAATTTGAATAAATTCTATATTCTAAATTTAAATATTTTGTCACTGTGATGCTAGTTTTCTTGGGCAATCGTTTTATTTTTCTGTTGTTTCTTGTTCTATATAAGGAGTTCGTACCTAAATCTGTCAATCTTTTTCGTTGTTATTTTTTCCTATTTTTGTTTGTTTGTTTGTGACATGGTCTTCCTACATAGTCCAGGCTGGCCTTGAACTTGTAATCTCCTTCTACCTCAGCCTCCCTAGCTCTGGGATGATGAGCAGGTACCACCATATCCAGTCCATTATTATTTCCAAATGAGAGATTCACTGTTTTTCATGGACCTGATAAACTAGTCTTATTGTATTTCAGCTAATCTTTTATTTTAATTCTTTATCTTTTCTTTGTTTTTTTTTTAATTATGTTTAACTCTTTAACCATTGTAAAGTTTACTTTTGTTTAATCTGAAGTGTGGATCCATCCTAGTTTTCTTATTCCCATCTATTTACCATAATATCATTTACCAAATACCTTTAGACTCATTGTGTCATACTTAAGTTTCATTCTGTTTTTGCTTTATATCTAACTTTTAATGTAGGTAGACTCTTTTTTGTTTTATTGGTTTCTATTTTCATTCAAGTTTCATGATGAAGTCTTGTTTTTTTGTTGCTGTTGCTTGATTTGTCAGTTTGCTTGTTACTGCTTTGTCAGTGTCTTCCAGCTAAAGGCTAATTGTATTCAACTAGGAACACATTTGTGGTTGAACAAATTGGGTTTGTTGTTGATTGTAGTGAGGTAGCACGTGTACCAGTGGAATCTGGCCCCTCAGTAAGAGCCTTAGTACTCTGGGGGTGGTGATTCATCCATCTAATCCATGCACACAGAAGGTAGATGCAGGAAGAGTGTGAGTTTAAGGCCAGTCTAGGATACATAGTAAGATTCTATCTCAAAAAGGAAGGGAGGTAGGAAGGAGAGAAAGTGAGGGGAGTGAGGAGAGGAGAAAAGAGGAGAAGAAAAGACCTTAGTATAAAATTTAGATTTGTGTTATGTGGTTTTAGGATCACGGATGTGAGTTTTGTTCTGTGATGGATGCTATAAGAAAGGGTGCATCTATGAATGAGAATCTCAATAAATCATATCTATAAGACAAGGGGAATGAAACAGTGTTAAAGCTGTATATGTGTATTATAGCTGGAATAAGAGATGTTTGGTCGTTTTTGTGATTTGGATGATGGTTATGTTTTGCAGTGTTTAGATGTGATTTGCTTGCTCACAGTGGCCTGGTCTGGTGTTGGTGTTCATTGAAGTTGTTTTTGTTTATCAAAGTTTGGTTGTGCATGCATAGGCAGCATCAAGGCCTTACTGATAGTACCAGGCTAGCTCTCAGATATCAGGGACTGCGTTTCTCATTCTCACATTGTTTTTTTATTTTGCTGCATAAAAATTTGACCAGAAACACAGTAACTTAAAATACCTAACATTTATTATCTCATGGTTTCTATTGGTCAGTAGTTGGCCACAGCTTGGCATCCCCTGTTGCACACTCTCACTAGGCTGCAGTTAAGATGCTGGCTAGAGCTGCATCTTCATCTGAGTCTCTACAAGAAAGGATCTGCTGCTTCTAAGCTTATGTGGTTGTTGGCATCATTCAGTTCCTTGTGACCTGTGAGCTTGGGTCACCACTTCTCATTGGCTGTTAGCTAAAGGCTACCCTCCTTGCCACTTGAGCCTTTCCACCCAACATTGTCACATACTTCATCAAAGCCAGCAAGAGAGAGGGTGTTTCCTGGTAGGACAGACATTGTAGTCTCATTTGACATGCTATAACATACATGTAATCACCTATATCTCAACACTTTTGCTATGTCCTGTTGTTTGACAGCAAGTCAGAGTTCCCACCTATCCAATGGAAAGAGATTACACAAAGGCAAATGAACACCAGGAGGTGGGGTCATGGGGCCATCTTAGGCTTATCACACTATTTACTTGTGTTTTTTTCTTATTGCCATAGATTGGGGTGAAGTTAGTCACTGGCATTTCACTTAAAATTGATGTTCCTGCCACCTTCAGATTTCAGCAATAAAAGTTTTTGAGGTAGAGATGAAATTGATGAATTTCAAGAGGAATCATTGGTATAATACTTGAGAAAAAAACCCAAGTTAGACTTACTAGCATGTGTTATTGCCTAGTGAAGAAAAGGGACAAAATAATTTTTGGAGGACAAAGTGTGAAAAATATTTTGTAACCAAGGAATAAATTGAACAGCCTACCCTTAGCAAGTGTTTGGAAAGTTGACAGGCTTTGTGGAAAGTTGACTAGAATATAAAATGAAGTAAAAATCATGTGCAAACTTCTCTTTCATTTTAAAATTCACAACTTCTTCTAACAGTGTAAACATGATAAATAATCCATGTGTTTCAAAGCCAGTCTCTGAGATACGTA